GTACCTAAACCGTCCCACGTCTTGCGCAAACGAGCAATCGTAGACGAGTTGAGCGCGCTCAGCACGGCAAACAGAGTATTGTAGTTGTCCAATGTCAAGCAGCGCTAAAGATACACTGTCAGAGACACCACGCAAACGAGATCTCATTTGAAGCAGACCAAAACTCACATCACCGAGTTTGACATAGTACTTGAGCAAGCTCGTCCTCTTTTTCGCGTCGTGCTCGTTCAAGATTGTCTCGGAGATCCAACCCGTCAATTTTGTGCTCAGTGTGCTCATCGCACGAACGTTGACAGCCAAGTCGGGTCCCTTTTTGCTAAATTCCTGGCCTAGCAGTTCACCAGGTTTGATGGCGCAGTACAACTTTGACTCGATGATGGTCAATTGGCGAGCGAGTTCGAGGGGGTCGATGTCGACGATAGACGCTTGGCCGTATCGCAACGATGACAAGAGGGACTTTGATACGATGGGCGGCGGCGGAGGAGGCCCAAAAGAGCCTTGTTGAACGGTTGCGGCAGGCGCTGGCGTTGACAAAGACGACAAGGCCGACAATTTCCCAACTCGAAACCGCTCCATCGATTGCATCCGAGTCAAGCCTCGGTGTTGAGCGACTGCCGGATGGACGGGCGATACGGGCGATGCAGGTGTGCGGCTCGCGTCCATCGGTCCAGAGAGTACCTTCTTCTGGATTAACTCGACGAGACGATTCCCGGCGTTTGCCATCGACAGAGCGAGTTTGGTCTTGCAAAACACGAGCAGAGGTTCAACGATAGGTTGATCAGAGTTGTGACTCCAGTGCGACTCGACCCAGGTCTTGAACGTATTGTACACGCGCAATCGAACGGGTGTCAATTTGCGATCGTGCCACAATTTCAACTCGTCCGGTCGAAGGTGAACGATATGACCGTCAGCCATAGTCATTGATGGCGGCTGAATGTCGTATCGGGCGAACAAAGCTTCGGCGAGCGAAGTTGGCGTCGCAAACAGCCGAAATGTCAAAAAGAAGGTATTCGAAAACATGGTGTCAATCGTCGTATCGTGCAAAGTTAAACGCTCAACGAGAGACGTGAGCGTGCCGCCTGTGACGTGGCCGTCTGCGTTGAATGCAATCTCGCTTGGGTCATAATCGCGCTGGAGGAACCACGGAGCCGAGTCCTTGATCGGTGACGCGGCAGCAGAAGTTGACGTGGTCGTTGTCATGGACATTGTCGATACAGGCGAGCCGATCGATCGCGCCGAACTCGCGGAAGCATCTGTCCGAAGCGAGAGAGCGGCCATTGAAGATGCTGAAGGCGATGGCAAAGCCGGATGTGACAGATCAACTGATTTTGTCAAGTCCAAATGCGGCGGCAGAAGTGTTGCCGACATGCTTGACCTTGGAGACGTGTCGCCCGTCGACGTCCGAGAGAGGGCCGTCCGGCTCGACGCGGCAGACTCTGACGTACGCGCCGAGTCGCCTCGCGACATTGCTACACTCGTTGTCGTACCTTGCGAGCCGTTCACTGAGTGCGTCTGTCGGGGGCGAGATCGCGAGATTGTTGGCGAGTTGGTTCGACCGAGTTCAGGACTGAGCGAACCGATTTCGGTCACTGTGTCGCTCGTTGCGCCTGCCGAGCTCGCATGGCTGCCTTGCCTCGCCATCGGGAGGCTACCTGTTTGAGTGCTGTGCCAGCTAGTTTCGGACCCTCGTCTGAGTCCGTCGTCGGGTGCGTCCTGAAACTCGACTGGTGCGGCTTCCTCCTCTACGGCGACACGGTCACCGTACAGGTCCCGCAGAGGAACGAGCGACGAAGCCTTGCGACCGAGCATCGACAACGTGTGGGGATTCTGCCGTCTCGCCTGCAACGAAGGCGAGCCGCTCTCGGTTCGTCTAGGAACAGGCGCAGCGACAGGCGAGCTTGCAGGCGAGTCCACCGCGGCTGAGGACTTGAGAACAAGGCCAAGTGGTGTGCTCGAGGGCGCCTGGTTGAGCACCGTCTTGATAAGGCTGATACAGTCGCCACCGGCGCGAAGCACGCCCGTCGCCGACGTCAGCAGTTGAGCCTTTTCAGCATCATCGGCATTTGGTGCTGCCAAAAGAGTCTCGGGATTTGGTGTTGACGGTTGCGACGGCGACAACGGGGAAGACGTGGCTACTCGAGCCGCCGTTACAAGCGAGGTTGTCGCAACGTATAATCGCTCGCGACTCGACTCGAGTGCACCAATGTCCGATCCTTCGCGCAAGAGGGCAGCGCAATTTGATACTGCTTCCACGACGACAAGCACATCGCGTACCCGCTCGATTGTCTCGCGCGTCAAATCGATCAGTTGGGCGAATGACGAGGCGTGCGACGAGCGCGAATGAGCGTGAACGTGGCCAATGAATGCGGCAATCGTCGACAAGAGGGCATCGTGAATCGTCGTCGTAAGCACAGACAAGTCATGCGCTGTAGAAATGACATGGTTCTGTCGGATTGATGAAAAGACAGGGACCGACATGCGCTGGCCCTTTGGTGGAAGTGGCGGAGGTGGCGTCGATGCGGATTCGGACGGACGCAAGTCGGGCGTCGATTTTGCATGCCGCAAGGCCGTACCAGCTCCCACTTCGATCGACACAATGCTGTCCTTGCGGTCGTTGTCTGCACCGATTGTCAAAGGATGTTGGACAAGTACGTCGAAATCCGACACCAGCGCGAGGAACTCGTTTGCGCACGATTGAACGTTCTTGGCGAGCACGAGCATGTTGTTGGCGTCAAGTGCGTCAGATCCTGCTGGCGCGCTTGCCTTGCGCGCCTGGTTGACGAGCGATGCGAGCGCGGCTAGAATTTGCTTGCGCGATGTCGCTAGCGGCGGGTGCGAGCGCAACGTTGTCGACTCGCGCGTGAGGCATGACGTCGCCGACAGCAGCGTCCGTACTGCCGAGATGACACTGGATCGGATGAAAGAGTGTCAGTGGCGATGAGCGCTTCGCCAGACTAGAAGCGAGACCCACCACGCGGTGCTCGGTTGGTAGTGCGTTACACGACCTGATGCGACAGCGTTTGATAGCTGTGTTATGGCGTTTGTGAGAGAGTCTTGGATGGCTTGTACCGGGTGCGCGGCTGGTAGGGTGGCGTGTGCGACGTCGTCATCTTTGGCGGCATTGGGTGCGACCGAATGGTGCGGCGAATCGGCCGAGACTGAGCGCGTGCGAGGCAAAGCCGTTTCCTTTTGGGTTGTGACGGATTAGAACGCGCAACAGCACGCGCCAAGCCGAGACCAAACTCACCTGTCGGTCGTCCGCGGTGACGAGTTGGACATAATTGCTCGGGAACCAGCCCTTTGGCCTGTCGTGTGCTTCAAGCTGACCATGCCACCATCCACTGGCGTCCTTGTGCAAGACTGTGACCGTTTGACCGCGTTCAAACGCCAGGCACGCGCCTGCGATCGCTCCCGTCCCGTCCCCGCTGCTGCCGACCGCTTCTGGTGGATGGAATGAGTGCAATGCGCGCACTTGAACAGTATGCAAGTCGTCCTCCATCGTCCGTTAACGTCTCTCGCGCGCTCGAGCTTTGTTCAGCCCAGCCACTCGATTCGATTCTCGGCCGCGTGCACGCGTTGGCGTCTCACAGCGCCGTCAGCGGCCTCTTGATTGTCCCAAACGCGTCCCCGGCTTCTGTCCTGTCGAATGCGCGAGCGTGCTTGAGCGTGAAACGACGGGCAAAACACTGCGCGCGCGCGCGCGCTGCTGCGCACTGTTTGACAAGTAATTAAAACGCATGCGAGCACACCGTCTGCTCAGAGACATATGGACAGCACTCAGAGTATACGTCAACACACCATAGCCATCGCTACTGCGGTACAAAAACTGGCGACTGATCGCCCGCAGCACTCGCGAGCTGTCCCGCTGGGCAATTAAAGTTTTTCGAGATGTATCTGCCACCTCAACAAACCCTCTGCCAGCACCGTACAGCAGTCATAACCGCCAGACGTGCCGCATACCCTACACTACTCACAAGCGTGCATACCCCGTCACGGCCCTCGCCGGAACCGGCATCACCGACCTCCGCGTGACCTTTGCCGCCAAGTACCCAGACCTCCTACGCAGCCTTCTCTTTGTTGAGCGTGGACATTTCATGTTTCAGGCTCAGACCTCGGCGTCACTCGAAACCCTCGCGCGTCTCGAGGCGCAAGGCTTCCTTGCTCAACGCCACAAAGATCTCAGTCGTACATTGACACCACATCTCTCAAGCCAAAGCCTGATCGAAGGCTACGTGACAACTTTTGTTCCCGAAGAGTCGGCCCTGGCCGAGCTCAAGTGCATGTTGAGTCATTACGGCCCGTCATTGTCAAGCTCGGTGTCGGCCGATGCACACAAACTGGCCTCGTTGATGGTAAGGCCTTCTTTATTCTGGACGTCGGTCCAAAATGTCTCCCTCCTTCCTCGCTATACGACTGTCAAGCACTCGGGCCAGGAGCAAGACGTAACGGTTTACGTAACGGCGCATAATTGCACGGGTCACTGGAACTGAAGTCATTCAACTGACCATAGACGCTAATCAAGCGATCAACTGTGATCATAATATTCTTCAGGCAAAGCGACAAAGGCATTCGGGCTGCAAAGGCAATGACCCCTTCATAGCAGCGAGTGTGAAGCCTTCTGCCTCGAGGAGAGCCAGGACCTCGTCTGATGCCGAGGCTTGGACCTGGAACATGAGATGTCCACGCTCGAACAAGAAAACAAACTTTGAAGGAAAGGTGATGGTGTTGCGGGCAGGCGCCGTCACCCGGCGAAGCCCTTTTGCTCGGCAAAGCTGACGGGAGTGTGGTGAACAAGTTGTGTATCAGATGGTTCAGGCTGTAGAACAGCGCTGGCGTAGGTGGACTAGTGGCATGAGCGTGTACTCTCGTATATCACGGTTGGTAGGCGTATTGGCGAATCGTCCGAGTCGTGCGCTAGAAGGTCCAATGACGAGATCCGCTCGCGCGCTGGCCTGTTTTTGGGCGCTATATATATTACAAGCAAACCGATTGCCGAGAAGGCCCCCTTAGCTTAGAGGTAAAGCGCCGACCTTCTACTTTCGAATGGCGAGTCGGAGATCGCGGGTTCGAGCCCCGCAGGGGGTTGCCTTACTTTTTGTGATTTGGGCTGCTCTGCCCCGATCTGTTTGCTAAAAACTGTGGCGTGAGCCTGTACGCTGCAGCTCGACCCCACAAAGTGAACTATCAAACGCCAAACTCGTGAATGTAAATTGAGCTTGGGATCGGGGCTTGTCCGACTTGTCATCGATGCCAGGGCTCGCAATGGTGGCACTTTTCGCTCGCTCGCTTGTTCATCATTTTCTTGCGCGCACGCGTCTTGTCAAGCATTTCAAGGGGCCAAAAAACTTTTTTTTTCCTCTTAATCTTGACTGAGTCTCAGACGCACTGAGCCCAGCCTAGTACTTACAAAAGTATACAGAAAGCACCAGGCCAGGTGAGCAAACTTTGCAGGGTATGAAATGGCGAGCTTCGCCAGAAATCGTTCTCGACTGGTATCATACTCCCGCGATGATGCTCGTTCAAGAATCAGCGGGGAGGGAGACTGAGCAGAGTTTGCTGCATACCCACGCAGGTTCAAAGGATTGAGCCCACCGGCTAGCGGCCAAAGGCCTTTCTCAGTTGACGGCATGTCGGCAAATCGTTACCATTATCCACATGAGTGCCGTCTGTTTTCCGCACCAATACAGTCTGTAATGTCGAAGCTACACACCGTGTTACGCTCGACGTCCTTATTTTGGCGTCTTGCGCGTTTTTATTGAACGTGTGCGGATCCTCGGTCATACGTCGCGGGTTCGAGGTGAGATACTGTCTGGTTGAGTGCGATCCGTGAGGAAGCACAGTATGAGGTTGACGTTTGGCAATGAAGCCTTTCCGAGACGACGATTGTGCTGGCGTCGGTGGCGGTACCCGAGTTGAAACTGCAATCAGCCACATACAGAGACGGGCACAGCTCCGGCCACGACATGTAACAGCATCTTTCTGTGTGTTATGTCTGATGCGAACTTTCTATTCCATGCAAGCGCGCCAACCTTGACTCGAAGTTGGGTCCGTGCCTATCGATTTCATTGGTTTTGAGGAACGGTACTCATGAACTTCACTTCTTGTCTGACCGAAGAGGTTGTAAGGAGCGAACTGGCCTGAACTCTTGCGGTAGAGGATCAGGCCCGCCCAGCACTCTTGTTGTGCACAGTCGAATCCGCCATTATAGCTCACCAATAACCGCAATTTGCCGGTGTGCATGTCATGGACGTTGCTAGATCATTACTCACTAATGATTCTTGACATGTAGCATGCGTCACATTTGCGAAGCGCCGCCACCCCGGTTGCCAAGACGAGCAAACTAGAACGAGCAGAAGCTTCGGGTGTGCATCATCATTGTGCTCGCGAACAAGCAAAGCTTTTCGGTACACGCATCATCTTTCGGCCCGGATAGTATCTCGGCTGTGCTATCGTGTTGTCCATTACGCTGAAGCGAGGACGCGAGGCGAATTGCATCATAGTGTGTACACAGACGTGAGCGATGACTTCATGATTGCTCGAGCACAGAGCCTTGCGTTCGGGTTGCTGCGCCGAGCGCAGAGGCAATATGGGCTTTTTGCAAAGGCGCATGATCGACGTCATGGGCTATCGTCACACGAAGCTCTTGGTAACTCGAGAATTTCAACTGAGTGTGGAGACAGCACACAACACTCTTTCTTTCTCGTCACCCACCACAGACTACTTTGAGATTAATATGAGCTCGCACGCTGTCCCACTCATGGCGAACGGCGGTGACACTCTCGAGGGCGCGACGCTCGCACGGTCCCCGCCAGACTCGTCGCCTGAAGCGTCACCTACGACGACTTTGAGCATGGGCGCCGTCCAAGACGCCCTCTTTGACACTGAAGCACGAGACGCAGCATTGAAACGATACAAAGGTCAGTCGACTCTTTCGCTTCAGGCCGTTCTGTGGCGCCGAGAAACTGAAAACGATCTCGCCTGCTTCTTTCGCGTTCGCCTCTTTAGCTTCCATGGGTTCATACACAAAAGCCAAATTTGACGTGTTCAAGCGCGAGTTGGATACAAAAGATCGACTCGATGGCAAACGCATTCGTACGCGTCCCCGCAGCGCCCAGCAACTCTAAACCGGGCCCCGCTTACGATCGAAAAGATACTGTGTACACGACCATTTTACGCAAGTTGTAGATACTACCTCATAGTTTGATTTTGGGTGGCACCGCGCTTTGGATAGATGTCAGCCCGTCGCCTTGTTCCTTGTTGTTAATAGCCAAACAAAAGCAGTTCGTTTCTACCTCTGCGCCACGGTGTCAACGACTATTACAACATTCTATCCACTGGATCGGGCCGCCACATTTGTACGGCCCAATTTGAGCTCAGCTCGCCGCCCTCAAGTTCAAGCTTGATGCCTCGATCCTGCACCTGCTCGACAAACGCGCGTTGACCCATCATGTACAATTCATACTCGCCGATGCCAGTGACACGTAAATGTCTCAACTTTGACAAAATTTGGGTCGCATCTCGTCCAAACAACCTTGAACCGAGCAGTCGCAATGTTTCGACCGTATTAAAATCTGTGCGCACCTCGAGCGAATAAAGACGAACATCCTGAGGCAAAGTATCGAGCAACATGGCGATATTAGTCGAAGGATGACACTGAATGTGTTCAAGTCGTGGACACAGCGCAAGCATGGCGATCAACTCGTTTGGCGGGCTATGGTGAAGCTCGAGGCGTTTCAACGTAGGTGCGACGGCCGGGAACCCAGCCAACAAGCCAGGATATGCGGCAGCAGAATGCGTGATCGACAACTGCAACGACGTGAGCGACCCGCGAGACGTTTCGAGGATCTTTTCGAGCAGTCGAGGCTCGTACGCTCGATTGTACACGTGCAACGTCCGCAGTCGGAATGGCAGGTTAATCAATTCCACCACGGCTGCCTTGTCAGGGAATGGGGTCTGCAAGACCAACGTGTCCAGGTCTGTCGTCCACCGAGATCAGCATCGCCACCGGGGGCCAGGTGAGGTCAAACGCGCTCACAACGAAGGCTGTCGCTCGCCAACAACTTGCAGCTCAACCTTTTGAAATCGGACAACCTGAGCCAGCGTACTCCAACTGCCTTGCTGATGATCCTCGTCGCCGTCGTGCCACTCAATCCCGGCCCGGCGTGCACGCCAACCAAATCCAACTCTCTGGTCGCATACATTCCTAACAAAGGACTGGCCAGCCATTTCGTGGCCGTAACGGAATTAGATATCGTGATGCTCGAGTACAGCAACGCCTGACTCGGCCTCGTAAATTGTTTGCACACGATAGACGTCGATCGGAGCCACGAGTACCTTGAACGCGTCGATTGTACGGATTGACAGCCTGGTGGACTCGCAAAGTCGAGAATGACGAGCAGCAACTCGCTCGGGAGCGATTTGATCGTTACGTTGTCCTCGCCGTCGTCGTCGAGACCGTAACGTACGTCATCGTCATCTTCGCTAGAGTCTATCATGCGGCATTGAGAATGTGTCGATTCGGCTGCGAATACAGCAGGCCGCGTGACAAGCAGTGAACGAGAATCGGTCGCACAGAAAAACGACGTCACTAAGAAGATAAAGCAATTCTGTCGCGCAATGTAGCGAGTCTGAAAACTGCTACACTGACAACTCAATTAAATTTTCAACAACATCCTCTCGCAAAAGACGAAAGCAAACAGACAAAATTCAGTGCGCCGGCTCCACGACCATGCCATTCCGATCGTCAGTCATGGCCATCAGACCCGACAAGGCATCGTCCGGAATCTCGTCAAAGGCACGATCAAACGCGTCATCGTCGTCACCCGCAGCACCACCGTCCATTGCAATATCGCCATCATCGTCAAGGTCAGGGTTGCGGTTCGGATCGTAGCCCGCTTGCTTCTCCATGATCTACGGACGTCAACATGAGCACCCAGAGAAAGAAGCGTAATTCATATTTTGGAACCGTGAGCGCACCTGATCCATGCCCCAAGCCGATTTCGAACTTTCAACGAACGGTTGAGCCATCGCACGCAAAAACTTTTTCGAATGACTGATGGCCAGGTCAGTAGACAGATTGGTATCTGAATCTTTGATGTAGGAGCCGATCCACTTTGGTAATTTTGACCTCTGCGCGTTTCCAGCCCTCAGTCAAAGTCGCATTACGGTCGACGCTCGAGTATGGACACACCTTGTCAGCTTTGGCAAAGCGCTGTAGTACAGCATCGTCAGCATCGTCAGCAAAGTCGTCTAATCTTATGACCAATAATAGGCGCACCTTGTCTGCAAAGATCATGAGCCCGTAGTCTGTCTTTCCGCGCAAGACACGTCCGACACATTGTGCGGCATGTCGCATAGCGTCAAACGTCAAATAATCGTTCTCGCGGATACGGTACGCGTCTCGCATATATTCTAGGCGGGCTTTCAGGATTCGTGACTCGGTGTACTGCAGGCGTACGGAATCGATCAATAAAGAGAAAATCAAGACGTAATGATGAACGCACCTGGTACGGAATACCAAACATGATTACAGCTCGCCCATAGTTGTGGTCGAAATCGATGCCTTCCGAAACTTTGCCTCGAGCGACAGAAAGCAAGACGGCACCTCTGCCATTGTCGCAAGCCTGCAAATCCACGCGCTCGTCAGGCACAGACGAGAAGCTGGATTCACAAGACTCACCCTTCGGTAGTTGTCAAGGGCCAAACTGGTTTCGGGCGCGTCGGGCGTCTCGATGAAAATCAATTTGTGCTTGGTGACCTCGTTCAAGATACCCATCTCCATCCAGGCCGACACGATAGACTCCATGTACAGATAACTGGGGAAAAATGCGACGATTCCGTCCGGTACTGCCTTGCAAAACTCGATCAAGAGCGCACCAAAGTTGCGCACAACGGCTGGATCGTTGCGCACTTCAAACCTTGACGAGATTTCGACTTGATCGGCGCCGCGTGTGACGACCTGAGCTGAAACATTAGCCAACAGCAGTAGGTGTGCAACAAGCCGCGACTGACCAATGGCAAGAAACAATCTCGCGAGAGCGTCATCACATAAGACTCGAGCACGGTGGCCTCGAATCCGAGCATTT